GACTAATAACACACCTCTGCCTATCGCTTCAGGATACTGGCGTATTTGTATCTTTTAAGCCTTAAGTTCACAAGCTCTATAGAGAGTTGTTGAAATGAAATGAAATGATGTTTATTTTTACAAGTCGGACTTTACAGCTACATGGAGCCGGCATTTCCTAAGACTCATTCTGGGAAGAAACACCGAAACAAACCACAGAGGTGTCTTTTTTTTTAGTCCGTAAACAAAGTTAAATAAAACTGTGCGAGTATAGTATAGGGTCTGGGTAGGCCTTTTGAAGAAAGGGCCATAGTTTTGAGTCGGCCTGTTTATTCAGACGGCATAAGAACCCCAGCCATCGTGTAGCCTAACCGATATTAGTCAAGATCAACGACCGATCACTACCGCCAGCAGGACATTTGAGAAAGCCGAAGAAACACTCAAAACTACCAGAAAGTTTCTAAATATGAACTAACTTTGACAAAGTTGTCAAAGTCATCTGTGTAATATTTTGAGTGTCTTTACTATTTATGTATAAAGGTTCATTTTTATACTATAATATAATATGTATAGATTATGTATGCTTTGTATGCTTAGTGTATGAATATATGTAATACATGTCAATTTAACTTGTCTTCGCTTGCATCACCCGACAGTTGGCTGGAAGAAACTGACTGGTTTTTAACCTTTGCGAAAACAATGAAAGTTGAAGATTTCATCTTACTTCAGGACGACCACGTTTTGTAAGAAATTAAGACATAATCAGAAATAAGAATTTAGAGAGAGCGGCCTTGTCTCAATAGTTTTAAAGTTTATTTTCAAATGCCTTAAAAGAATTCTCTCCGCTGCACTTCTCTAGTTCTCCGCTGGCCCTTAATCTTGATTATATTTTCGGTATTTTCTGAAAAAAATTGGTAATTTTTTTGAAATATTTGCATTTAGAAATTCCCTTATTCTTTTCGGAAAACTGTCATGAATCGCAATCGAATACCATTGTATACCCTGCATTGTCTATCACACTCACCTCTTAAATGTAGTCTCTGTATCAAAAGGTGAACGAAACATAAATTAAATAAATCCATAATGTGAGAAAATACTTCGCAAGCTGAGAACGGTATCAAGGTGAACTTGAGCGTTACACTGACCGATTTCCACAGACAACTGGATAATTTTTTGCTTGTGGTGTTTTATTAACGTTTTTAATATAATGATTTATCGTACTAGTTGTTTAGTATCCGAATCGAGTGGATTATTATCAAGCCGCGGTGGAAAGGGCGAGTCTGTTGCTATTAGCAATCCTGACTGCCGGAGATCGTGTGTTCGATTCCCATCCAGGACAAAAATTGTATGAGTATAATCATTTTTTCTGTGTCTAGGTTTAATTTATCTATAATATGCATGCATTTAGAATGAAACGAGTTATTATTTATTATTTTTAGATATAAATGTCCGAATTACGGCAATAGATTTGCCCCTACCCTGATATCACCTAAGTGGGATTGGGATGCGAGGGGCGAACCACTATCTTTCGCCCCAAGAGTACCTCACCCCACCGAAATACAAAAAATAACGTTTGCTTATCATAAATCGCCTTAAACACCAATGATTCTTGTCATCAAGTTGTACAAGTTTTTAACGATCTTTATCAACGATGTTTAACCTCTAAAAGACCCAAGACCCCCTTCCCCCCCCTTCTAAAAGTAGCATACAAAGGGTGACAACATATTTATGTCTCTTAAGTTGAAGGTGTCCATAGGCGGTGGCAGTCACTTACCATCAAGGAACACGTCCGCTCATTTGCCCCAACTTGAAGAGGTTTTGCATACCCATATTAACGTCCTATGATTGGACAGGCTTAACTGAATGGCTGATGAGGGAGAGCTTCCAACCCCAGCTCTTGCAGCTTGGAGACTGTCTGTTGCGCAGTATGGGGTCGCTCGCGCGTTGTCGTGAAAGAGCAGTGGGGACGACCGATTGACCAAAGCTAGTTGCTTGGTACTCACCAGACCTTGCACCTACCGACTATTACTTTTTCCAAAATTTAGACAACTTTTTAGTGGGTAAAAAATTCAATTCCCGAGAGGCAGTACAAAATGCCTTTGAAGAGTCTGTTGCCTCCCGTCCAGCTAATTTTTACAAGAAGGGCATCAATAAACTGCCAATGCGTTGGCAAAGATGCGTCGATTGCATGGGTGATTACTTCGAACAACAGAAATAAAAAAGTTTGAAAAAATAAGTACTTACTACTACGTACTTAAGTAAAAATAGTTACTAATTGCATACAAAACGGCAATTTCATAGGTAAAGACCTGTTATAATAATAACATATATCTCACACGCAGCCATCTGATCCCAAACTAGGCAGAGCCTGTACTATGGTAACCAGACTGATGGTTAACATACTTATACATTTTTAAATACATACCAGTCAAGGTCACTAACCACTAGACCAACAGGCCCTATTTACCAAAAAGCCAGAACCACTAAGTTTTATCTAACAAAGGGAATACATTCATCAAAACAAAGATTTCATTATTTCCTAAATGTAAATTTACAATTAAATCCCTCCATCTGTTTTGGAGTAATGGTGTCCTACACAGACAAAGGCAATGTCCATCAAATTAATTGCAACAACCCTCATTTCGCGATGGGGTTGTTTATAGTCCCTACCTATTTCAAATAACAAATACCTACTCTGCAATAACTGCACGGTTAGTTGACGAGACAGGAGAACTAGAATAGCTATTGTGTTACATGCTAGAAAGAGATGGGGTGAACAAGTAAAGGGGTTATTAACAAAAGACATAAATAGTCATAAACAGACTAATTACTGAAAAATAAAACAATAAAAATTTATGGCTATAATTTTCATTTACCCAATTAAGAGTAAAAGCCAGCTAAAATCCATCAAGATGACTACACAATGTGCCAAGGAAATATACATATTTAAATACACACATACACTCGAAAATAACCCTCCTTCTATCGCAGTCGGGTAAAAAGCTATAAAAAAATATCGATCTCATTCTTTTTTATATAAAAATGTCAGATTTTTAAGGTTTTGGTAGATTTACAAATTCTTTTCCATTTCTTGAATGAAAATAATTGCGTTCCACATTTAGTGGCAAACGAATACACGTCTTCAATGTTAGGAAGTGGTTTACATGTATCGACCGAATGAATGGTATTACTTTATCTTTTACCGACGCATTTACCCCACACTCACAGTATAGAAATACTTATTTCTTTGAGTAAAATACTTTCGATAGATAATATGGAATATAATATGTTACTTATGTTATTTTACTAAAAATACTTGATATCGTGCCCCTGTCGTACCGTGACCTTGACATTAAAAGTAAGAAAGCGTAATTGTGATTTAGTAGGTAGTTAGGATTAATGGATCAACAGATATCAGGACAATTCGAAGGGTTTATTAGTAGCCATTAGCCACTGAACAGTCATCTACCTCCTGGTTTGATCATCAGCAGTTATATTCTCTAAGGAAACAGCATACAGCGCGCCACAGCGTCGAATTCCAAACTATAGTTTAAACAAGATATAAGAGAATAGCACTGCAGGTCAACTCCAAGATGCCAAGTATTAGTATTGCCATCCAGACTACGACAAGTACATACAAAGTATAATTTCGAGAAGGCAATTAGAAGTATGTTAAAATTGACTTTCAAGATTAGTTTACATACTCGTAGTTAAGTCAAAGTGAAAGGAATTAAATTAGTTGAGGACTACGACAAACCCAAAGAAACAAGATTCGAGTCTAACAAAGTTAAGTTTGCGTAACGTCTACCAAATTCAACCTCTAAAAGGTTAGAGGGACCTTTATGTAATGAAGATCATTACTTAAAATTCTTTTAAAAATTAAGTATTATTGTTTGAAATCGTCTTAGACTCTACAGTCATAGGTCAACACTAGAGATGTCACGAACAGTAATTTGGCCGAATACCGAATAACGAGTATTCGGCGAGTGCCTTGGCCGAAGTGCCGAATATTCGGCAGACAAATATTCGGATACACTTAGTACCCTTTGTGGGTTTAAACCTGAATCATAAAATTTGCTAGGATCTATTTATCATCTTCCGGAAACAGTGAGCATTTATATTCCGGTATAATTTACGAGGAAAAGCGCGTTCGTTTCCTATTAGCAAATGATAAAAAATTATTTTCAGTATTAATATCAGAAGTTTTTCATTCATTCGGCTGTGATGACCGAATAGTGAAAAAAAAAATGGCCTAATAGCCGAATACCGAATAGTTGCTGAATATTCGTAACATATCTAATCAACACACACAATAGCAACACACCATTTTGTCAAATGTCTAGAAAAATGAAGTTAATCCGTTGTTGAGATGCTTTTTTGTCATCTTATGGGTATCGTAAAAAAAAAGATACTCGCGAAAATGCAATGTTCAACGATACCTAACTGCAATGGACCAAAAGAGCCTGGACAGTCTGTACTAGGTACTTTCCTTGAACGGTCCTAATTATCTTAGTCACTATTAACAAAAAAACAAAATTGATCCATACGTTAAGGAGCTCTGATGCCACAGATATACAGACACATGACAAACTTGGTGGGTACTTGAAAACACGGTAGATACATTACATATACCTACATACCTATATACATCGTACGGAACTTTATCAGTGCGAGTACAACTTACACTTGACCGACCGTTTACTTTATTTATATTCATAATTATTCTGTTAAATATCACTTCGTTAGTTAATTACAAAAAAACTGTTATAGAGTTTGTTTGTCTAAAAATAAATACCTAATACAAATTTTCCACACCCAGGAATCGAACCCACCCATCCCACCGTCACATTATCAACCAAATAAGAAATATATATTCAGTAAGCATCTAATACCGTATTCCCGAATAACATACATAAAGTTGCATAAACATAGTTGCTTTACATAAAGGCCATCTTTGTTTGTAATACGTCATCTAAGAGAGTCTAGTATTGATAAGAGAATCACTCTGAGTTAATAATTACCGTTATAACTTCTGTATGCTTATCGTTCTCCAAATGGTTGGGCAAGAACCTCATGTAAGGGTACAAGAACCACGTCGACCTGCCACCTGAGCGAATTTTCGCTTTTTCCCGCCGATGCGAAGCGAATATCGAGTTCAACTTCTTTCGCAAATCAGCGATGTCGCATTGAAACACTCGCGCTAAGTCCGACCAGGCTTCATACTTCGCCGTCTGAACCCTGTACAACTCGTTGGCAGTGTCCCACAGCTCCGGCCGCTGCCTGTACTCCTCCATCAAACGTATGGCTGACTCTGTCGTCCATTCCACGTCGGCCATCTCGCTACCCCGTTCCCACACAAAGTCAAGGCCGCGATCACACCGAAAGTCGATAACTTTTTGTAATTTAGACAGCGATGTGTTTAAATACCGAACGGCGAACGTGCGTCGAATGCGTTCGTTCGCGCGCACAGCGAGCGGGGACTGCGGGACTTCGCCGGTTCGGCCGCGTTCGGCTCCGCTCGGGTGTATTCGCTCGCTCGCTTGGCTGCGCGCGTGTCGGCTGCACACCCTCACACCGATACATATCACTACATTCGCTGCCTACGCCCACCCATCACCCTGACCGTATTAACCTTGCCTATTTACTTACTTCACAAGTGAGGACTTACGTGGCCTCGCCGCCGGTGCGAACTCCTAGATTTGATGGGAAGGTTTACGAACAAAGGATCGCCATAAAAGATGATTATTTACTCCAACGAGAGGGTAGCTAGCCAGGCAGAACATTATGCCCGCTGAGCGATCGTTGTATATCCCTCTTTTACGAGCGGCTTTCGCAGCGGGTGGAAGGGATCAGGTTCAGAATTCTTTCAGCGTCCCCTCGTAAACCCTAATACAATAGTTGATCTCCTTTTATACAATTTAAAACAAAATTTCTAAATAAAACCTTTAATACTTACGTAACAAAGAAACTGGGTATAAAATAAGGTCCATTTATAGAGACCTATTACTAAGCAATAAATCTCTAAGTTGAAAGCTCACGTTAAGTTAGACTGTTAACTGGGACCGTGGCTAGTTTAAGTGGATCCACGGTATCTTAGCAACTTCGTTGTGTTGCGAGGAGCGTGTGTCTGTATGTGGGGCCAATGTAAATGGCGGGTGTGTTTCATTCAGATCGTGTGAATGAGAGGGTAGGAGGGTGAGTGGTGTCGTCTCGTTTTGTTGTCGGAGGGCAGGTTGCCGGTTGGGTCGTGATTAAATTAATGAAATTCTATTTTCTCTGAGGACACAGTTAATTTGGTCGTAATTTATGTTTGTAGATAAATTGTGTTTAGTTGAAGCGTAATGAAATGCATCATCTCTATCCGCGCGGCGAGGATTTTATCGTGAGATATTGTGTCGTTATATTCAATGCTCCCTGTTTTGAGCGCCCTCGTGGTAATTGAGTTAGTATTTATATTTAATTTACACTAATATAATTTTATCTCCTTAATACCAAGAACAGGGTATTGTTGAATCATAATAATATAATATTTTTAATATTTCACACACATCTCACACACGGCGGTCTGATCCCAAACTAGGCAGAGCCTGTACTGTGGTAACCAGACTGCTGATAAACATACTTATATATTTCTATATACATACATATTATAGATAGTACACCCAGACACAGAACAAATGACCGTGCTCATCACACAATTATTTGTTCTGGGTGGGAATCGAACCCACTACCTCTGGCGTAGCAGTCAGGTCACTAACCACTAGACCAACAGGCCAGTCAAATACATTTATATTTGCACTATGATCGTTTTGTGATCTTCTTTTTTTAGGTTAGAGGGGGCAGACGAGCAGACGGGTCACCTGATGGAAAGTGACCATCACCGCCCATGAACGTCTGCAACTGAGGCGTCACAAGCGCGTTGTCGGCATTTTAGGAAGGAGTACGCTCTTTTCTTGAAGGTTGTATCGCTCAATAGAACATGTTGTAACATTTTCTTAAATGCCAATTATATTAGACTATTAACAAACATAATTTCAGCAAAATATACATACGATCCACATATAAATATCCATATATCATGTAGAGATTGTGACTATGTCTGCTTGCGTCAGTTTTTCATTTCTAATTGACAATATAGTTAAAATGAATAAATATAACTAATTATAATTTGTTATTATTTTTATACAAAACAAACTTGTTATAACTAACTAAAAGATATAAATACATAGCATTATATCTACGTCCTTTTTGTGTGAAAAAAATGGGCAACACTTCACTGCCGTGCCAATCTAATATACAGTAACTTTTGATTAAGACTTGATTTGGAAAGCATTTTTACAGTTTTTACCCTAATTTCAATACAATACAGTATTTTTTAGATTATTTTATCTTCTAAAAACACTATAGAATAACAAAAGTGGTGATCAGGGGAACTAAACCGATGTAAAGAAACTGATTAAGCGTTGTTAAGGCAAACTTCTGTAAGTCGAGTTACAGTCTTATGGGTTGGTCACGGCAGTTGGGAATCGAACCTATTAAATACACATAGCGTTCCATTACAAGTGAGTCTATTGTATAGGACTCGGGAGTCCCTGGATACAAAACCCCTACAGATTTTGGCCTCAGGGTTCTAAGAATAGTAATAAATATAAAATGGCTCAATAATAAGAAGTTTTTGAAAGAGATTGTCAAAATTGGTCGTTGAAGTATTTTTTGGCAACAAAAAAAAAATGTATAGATACATGTGATATTAATTATCGTAATTACTTTGTAAATGTTTCCAGAAACTACTCAAAGATACTTCTATAGGGATAAATACGAGTATATACATTCACGCCCGTAATTCCGCAGGGGTAGACAGTGGCGAATAAGACACCCACATTTCTACTTTAGGTATATTTAGTCCTACTAACTGCGAACCTGCACCTGCAAGCGTATTGAATATAGTATTACGCAAATATACAATTCACTCGAAAAATCTTTGCGAAAATCTGCATTAATAAACCCCTTAAATACAAAAACAAAGAAAGCACTACGAAAATACAATAAAATATACAATATTGTCCAAATGGTGCAGAAAAGATGTAACCATAAAATAATCATATACATAGCGATATACAGCGTGGTGCAAAAATCAATTTCTTTTCATTGTAGTCGCTCGAGTGGAGCAGGGGGGGGGGAGGCTCAGTAAAAGCAGTAACGATTGCGACTTGCGGATTTCCGTGCCATTGTCCAAAAGTGTCGTAACTTAAAAACAATATGGGACGACGCAAGATTATGTCGAACGCTTAGTGATGTGCCCATATAGTATCGATATTTTATTATTAGTTATTTTATTTGTAACCCCACGTTGCTTATAGCTTATATGATTGATAAACAAAGATGGTTATAGAAATTAAAACTAAAACTGACAACTGAAAAACTGTATAATACCCGTACAGACCTTTTTTTTTTTTTTTTTTTTTTTTTTTTTTTTTTTTTTTTTTTTTTTTTCCGTGCGGAAATCCCCTCGGATACCACCTGTCGGTGGCATGTCGGACTCGAACCGACTAAAACCGCACGCCTTCGCCGGGTACTAATAGCCGGGGAACCAGGTATACCCTAGAAAGGAAGGCCCTGGTGCCCCGACATACCTCGGGTCATCTACAGACGAGTAGACGACCCCCGCCCCGTGTGGGAACCCCATGTTCCCTGTGCTCCCTGGAAGCGAGCGCGCTTCGCAACGCGCTCGCCGCCACCCCGGCCTGCTTCTGCTAGGGTGACAGATGACCTCACCTGTCACCCCCAGGCCTGCGCTTATGGAGGACGGAGGTCGTTCTGCGACCTCCGGCGCCTGAGTGACCTGCGCTGCCTGGCCCGTGCCCGGGCCTGGCGGGCCGGGAGAGTTCTAAACCTCTCCCGGTCCCGCTCCGCCGTCTCCTTCGCGAGCATAACTTGCTCGCAGAAGGAGACGGCAGAGTTCCACGCACTCTCGCTCCGCACGATAGCCGCAATCAGGCTATCGAGCGAGAGAACTCCCACTCCGATGGCCGCCACGAGGTCTCGCCTCTGCTCAACCCACGCCGGGCACTCTGCCAGCGTGTGGAGAGCCGTGTCCACGGTCTGGCCATCGCAGTGGTGGCACTCAGGCGTTGGCTCCTTGCGGATCAGACACAGGTGATCTCCGAAACATCCCTTCCCAGTGATCACCTGCGTCAATCGGTATGAGAGGGTCCCGTGACGCCTCTCGAGCCAATCCTCCATAACGGGTCTTACCGCCGCAATGACGGCGTGCCCGACCCGTACAGACCTAAGTCTAAATGCAAAATAATTATTGTTAACGGGATTATGGGTTATTGCACATAAAAACTGATAGAGGAATTAATATTACAACCATTTAAGTGCCTAAATGAAGTAAGCAACAAGATCACGGCCGGTGCAACTTGGTCCAAACGAGATGCAATTCAAACGTATGTTTATATAATAATAATAAACGTTTATTCGCAAAAACAAATTATCTGTAAACCAATATAAACTGTGTGTCAGGGACCAGAACAATATATATTTTAAAGAAGTTCCAGAACCCGTATAGCACGCTAATTTAGGTCGATATGGTCTTAAACAATATGTCGAAGAATATTATTATTTACACAAATCCTTCAAATACATTTAAAAGGACACGACCACAGCTCAATTAAATAGTAGGTATTTGTTATATGTATAAACCATTAATTAAGAGTAACGTCAGTGCTGTAAACATGTATTAACATGTATTAAAAGCTTGGAGATTCACGACACAGCTATAAATTAACTCTATACTATAATAATAATAAATAGCTCAGACACCATTTAACATAGAGAAAAATACCTACATAAACATAATTGAGTGTTTTATGTCACATTCTTAAATCTGACAGTTTATATAATAGTTGAAGTCGTGCCAAATGACTATTGTGAGATTTATGTATTACGTGAAAACTAAGTGGAGGTTGAGGTAGACAGTGAGAGGGGCGAGACGGCGACGAGACGTGAGCAGCCAAAATGTACCAGAAGCGGGTCGGGCATCAAACGGCTGTCAAATCTAGCATATTACAACTTGGTTACGCTGTGACGCAGTCTCGCAACGTTCGCTGTCTGAACCAACCTTAAAATTGTAAGCTTATAATTGAAAATACAATTTTATTAAAGATGTTATTTCTATTTCAAAACATACTTTATTACTTGTCAAGTCTTTAATTTAGATATCAGTTTTATTATAGTATTAAAATACTTAATTGAAAACATTTGAGCGAAAAAAAGGGATAACTTTATAAAACCTAGCGGAGTTCTTAAACTGTTTCTCTGACTTACTTCAATTTACCACCGTCACACCTAATATACATACAGAACCTTGATTCACATCACCTCAATATCGTAAAGTTACCAAATTGATTATAACACGACCACCCTTCTTTGTAATAAAGAGCTATGTGATTAAAACTTAATATTCAGCATTCAGCTTGATAAACATCTGACAGTGTATATTGGCCTCTAATGTCATTTCAGGGACCGATGATTATCTAGTAATTTACACGCAAGTGTGGCAACAAAAAATATTTTAAACACGTAACACTAACACAATCTGTCACCGTAGTGGTTGTCCACAGGTGTGACGTCACAGGTGCACTGGAATAGGGGATCATAACATTTGCATAATTTGTTATACAACAACAAACTAATTTAGTTAATCTACCCGCTGCACGACACCTAATACGTCTAAAATCTTTGATGAAACGTATTTTATAGTCAACA